TCAGCATTAAAAAAAAATATGCCTTGGATTTGGCAGACTCAGTGAACAACAGGCTGTTTAAAAATTCAGTTCCAAGGTCAACCATCTTTAACTCCTTTTCCCTTTGCCTGGAACCCTTGGCTTCAGATAACTTTCTCATGCCTATGGTCTAGCTCATTCTCCTTTTTAGTCCTTCATGTTAGTACACTTCTGGAAATGACCTTCCGACTCTGCCCTGCCGAACTCACACTCCTTTATAACTGCTCAGGGTTCATATGTCCAGGAAAGGTAGAATGAAATCTGGACAAGAGATTCACCCCAGCCCAACGCTCAGTATCAGAAGCTTGTCCAGGGAGCTGCCTCTGTCCCCTCTTTCATATATTTTCTTGCCATCATTTTGTACAACTTTTTAGATGTGTAGAACCCCCACTCCAACCCTTAACAGATGAGACTATAAAGTTCTATTTTGGGGGAACAGAGGTGTGTGTGGGGGGTGGTGGTGCTGATTAAAGACATTCAGGATCAGAGACACTGGCATTTGCTCAAAGCTATAGAATTAATGTATGACCGATTTTAAACAAGTAGCTAATTATTTGGGGGGCTTTTAGTTCGTTGGCACATAGTGGGGAAATGATGGGTATCACGGATTGACTGGTTGCTGAGAAATTTCAGGCATGGACAGACAGCTTTAGGAGTCAACAGCCAGCAAGGGGCCGGGGGTGTGAGGAGAGAGATGGGGACAGGTTTGAGGAACGACAGGAAAGAAGGCAGGAAGCTTCCAAGGAATAATAAGGTAAAAAGCTTACTCCAACCATTTCTTCACCTTCAAAGAAAAACCAAATCAAACCAAAGACAAAACATTTTTGCTTGGCTTTTGTGTGGTGTTTAATAAGCAATACGACTACCCCTGCCAACGAAAAACACAGCAACTTAACTAGGCTTCCCTCTTGGCGTTAACTCTAAACAGTCTACTGGATTTGGGTCAAAATTGTAAACTGCCAGTCTGTTAAAAATAAAAACAGCAAAGCAAACGTGGCCTCTTCTCGAAGGGTTATGAGGGTGAATGCAGGGCAAAGTCAGAGAGAAGAGTTTATATATATAAATAACTAGTGCAAACATCCTTGAACTGATGTTTTCTATAAAAAACTGATGGCTGTGAGCTGGGAAGAGAGGAGTGGGGAGGGAGAAAGGAATGGGGGATCGAGCGATGTCTGTGTATTGTCAGCTAGCTTTCATGTAAAAGTCATGGCAGGGTCAGCAACAAACTAGCCAGGTGGCAACTCCAGACCATGCTGCCATAAATAAATAGTTATGTACTAATGTCACACAACCAGCGTTAGATGCAAAGCATATGGGCCGAGAACATTTTGATGTAAATATGCTGCATAAAACAACGGTTGCTGAATTCAGGTTCTGCTGTTGATGTGTACTGGACTTTGAGACGCCTGGGAAAAAGAAAGTGCTAAGGCTTAAAACAAAACAACATATTAAAAGGCTCTCGAAAATGTAGTGTTTCCTTAAAAACAATTCTCCACTTTGGAGAATTTGACTGAGGTTGTAAGCAAGCATTATTCCGAGTTGGACAGCATAGAGACTCTGGAACACAATATGAGGAGTTTAAATCCTAGTCCTGCTACTTACTAGCGCAGATAACCTCTAGGAAATTGCATAGTCTTTTCATCTCCCGTGTGCAAAAAGGAGGGCGGGGCTAATGGTACAGTGCCGTCTCATAGGGGTGTCCTAACACCATGTCTATGTAATCTATTATTATCAAGCCCTGGTGGCACCACAATTAAGCACTCTGGTTGCTAACCCCCATGTCAGTAGTTTCTGTTTGAACCCACAGTCATTGTGTGGGAGAAAGAAAGGTGTTGCAATCTGTTTCCACACAGATTTACAGCTTTGGAAACCCTATGGGCCAGCTGGACCCTATCCTATGGGTTCAAGATGAGTTGGAATACTGGATGGCAGTGGATATTCTCACATAAGCTCTTTATCTTATATAGACTATCTGCTGGCCACGCTGCTAAGTAACTTTTTACTTGTACCATCCTATTTAATCTTGAAAACAATCTCATGAGATCTTAAAACCTTGCAAGACACAACTAAGGGTCTCTACTTGTCAGGAGCAAAACATCAAGAAGGTAATCAAAAGCTCAGAGAAAAATCCAATTTGATGAAAATGACCCCGGCATCTACCCCAGGACCAGAACTGGAGGGTACCTGGCTGCCACCACTGATCATTCTGACCGGGGGCATCATTGGTGGCCCTGGATAGAATGAGAGGGGGGAAAATATGGGGCTAACCTTAAATCTTTATTTTAAACACTTTTTAAAAAAAGCTAGGTGAATTAGAACCTAGCCAGGTCTTTAAACCTAGAATCAAGTCTATCCTCTGAGATCACCTTTTAAGGAAATAGCTGTGAGGCACACAAAATAAAAGATGTTTCTCTGAAGATCGGTGCTCTGCTTATAAACCATTAGTAGGAAACCAAAACGTCAATGGTCCCTCATAAACAAAGATGAGGAGATAAGGGGCCAGGGAGACTAGGGTATGGGAATTGGAACAAACAGAATGCAAACAGAATGTTGACTCAGTGTGGTAAATGTAACTAATGTCACGGAATAGTTTGCTTGAAAATTGCCAAAGAAGAAGCTAACTTGCTTTGTACACATTCACCAAAATCTCAAGACAAATATTAAAAAAAACAAGCCAACCATGATTTCAAAATCGATTTTACAAAGGAACTGAAATTTAGTGGAGTAAGCAATTTATTCAAGATGGCATACGCAAATGTCCAACGTAGTTCATGTGATTAAATGCAAACCTCTCTCTCTGTGTTATTTGTTTTGTGTCAGTTCTGACTCACAGCAGCTCCATCTACAACAGGACAAAACATTGCCCACCCTGCCCCATTCCCTCTATCACTGCTATGTTCGAGCCCTTTGTTGCTGTCACTAGGCAAGCCATCTCATTGAGGGTCTTCCTCTTATTTCCACGGATTTTTTTCCTTAACTTCTTATTGTGATCTGGGTGAAAAGATAGGAACAAATTGGTTTTCCAGTCAACAATTCACACACACTTGATTTGTGACACTGACTGGACTCCATTTCCTCCTTCATTTGCCTTTTCCTTTCTTCCTCCTTTGCTATTTCTTCATGCCTCTTAGCTTTATTCCTTGGCAACTGCTGTCCTTTGATCTCCTATCCTTGGCGATTTTAGGGCATGAATACCTTCAGGGTGGATGGTTCACCTGATAGGACTGCCTCTTGTTTTGACCCTCTACTAAGCAGGAGGGCTTTCTCCAGGGATGGGTCTCTCCTGATTACATATCCAAAGTATTTGAGACAAAGCCTTGCCTCCCTTGCTTTAAGGAGCCTTACAGCTGTACTCTTCTAGGACAGACCTGTTCCTTCCTCAGGCAGACCACAGTATATTTTGTATTCTTCTCAAGCACCGTAATTCAAAGGTCTCTGTTCTTTCGTCTTCCGGATTCCTTGGTCGGCTGTGGCATGCATATGAGATCAAAGACATCATGGGTTGGGTCTGTAGCGCCATAATACTCAAAGTAATAGGTTTATAGTAGATTTGCAACAAGTTGGCACAGTGCAATGTGCATTTGACTTCTTGACTGCTACATTCATGGGTGCTGATTTTTAAAATGTGATTAGAGAGGCTAGTAAGGAGCCCAGTGGTGCAGTAGTTAGAGCATTTGACGGCTAACCCCACCCACCATCTGCTAGTGGAAAGTAAATTTCCAACCTCAGAAATCCTCTAGACCAGTTCTACTTTGTCCTTATAGGATCACTCTGAGCCTGATGACTGGACGGCAATTGGGTTTTTGTTTGTTATTGCTGTTTGGTTTTGATGTCCTAGTAAATTGCCTCAGGAAACTTGTTATCTGCTTACAGTGCAAGTGGGAAACAAAACATGAATTCATTCACTGACACGTTCTCTAAACACGGAGGGCCTACTATATTCTAACTCTGGTGACATATTGTGTTATGCCTCGAGCTGCTAAACACAAGGTCAGGGGTTCAAATCCACCAGCTGCTCCATCTACTCCTGTACAAATTTAGTCTCCGAAACTCAAAAGGGCAGTTGTACTCGCCCTGTAGGGTCACCATGAGTTGGAATCTACTCAGTGGCAGTGAGGTTTGGGGGGTGGGTAGGGTGTGTGTGTGTGTGTGTGTGTGTGTGTGTGTGTGTGTGTGTGTGTGTGTGGAGGGGAGCGGAGGGACTATATTCTAGGGACGGTCGCTAACTTCAATGGCAGCGGTTCAGGCCCACCAGCTGCTCTGCCGGAGGAAGATTCACAGCCTCCGAAACCCAAAGCGTCTGGTTCTAGGGTATCCTCTCGGGTCACTATGAGTCGGAATTAATTCGATGGCCGTGACTTTGGCTTTGGCTATATTGGGGAAATGAAGCTAAATCGGCACTATTCCGGGCTGAGTAGCTACCTGTGCGGAGCGGAGGGGCCTGCCTTCCTACCGGCTGTGTAAGTTTGTGGCTGCAGAAGTTATAGGACCCCCGTCAACCAAAACCACTCTCGATTGACAGCGACCATCGTGAGTTTTACTGCTCTGCTCGTGCTCGCCAGGAGGGGAAGGACAGTGGAACGAAAGCGTTTCTTGGAAGGCCAGTTTCCGCCTGGATCGGCGCGGTTGGAATCCAATTCAAACCGCGCGCTCGGCCAGTGGCTTACCGACTCTCCGGGCGGAGGATCGGGACCCACGTGTACCCGTGGCCCGCTCCACGTGTCGGGGCCTCTGGCTCCTCGTAACGGGGAAGACGCTCCTCTCCACGAGCAGCCCCGGCCGGCCCGGCAGGGGGCTGAGGTTCGGTACCTGCCCGTGAAGACTTCGGCGCCTCCACCGGGGCGCCGCCACTTCCGGGTTGGCTTGCCCACACCTGACATGGCGTCCGTTTGCCTTCGTCCGAGCGCACTGCGGCTGCTCAGAAAGTCGGTCGGGCGACCGGCCCCGCCCTCGGCTGCACTGCCCGGGGAAGCCCGGGAAGCCGGGTTTGTCTGTCCCAGCTGGGCCGCTGGGGGGAAAGGAGGCTTGGGGCAGTCGAGGAAGACGGCGATCCAGGGCCGCGCCGCCGAATGCCCACCCCTGAGGGATCCCCGGTCATCAGGGCTGCGGGACCCCCAGGGTGGATTTGCCTTGTGCCCGCCCCATCCCCATCCCTGGCCCAACATGATATTGACCAAAGCCCAGTACGACGAGATAGCCCAGTGCTTAGTGTCTGTGCCGCCGACCAGGCAGAGCCTGAGGAAGCTGAAGCAGAGGTTTCCCAGGTAAGTGCCCCCCTCGCTTCCCCAGCACCCTGCCTGCACCCAGCACCCAGCACCCTGCCCAGCACCCTGGCCGCGTCTGGGCGGGCTGTCCTGTCAGCGCTTAGGAGCCACGTGGCACACACGAGTGGCGGGGAACAAACGTCAGGGGGTCAGGTGGGGGGCGGGGCGGGGGAAGCTTTCTGGGTTCACCTGCGTTCCACGTGGACTTCTTGACGGATACGCCTGCTGCAGCCTCCCCCGGCCTTCGTGTCGCTTTCAAGTCAACGTTGACAACGTGCTAGGGCTTGTGATGGGGGCACGTAGTAGGGGCAGCGCCCTTTCAACGTGTAAATAAAAGTGTCGGTTCGAAAGGAAGAAAGGGCCCCCTTTGCGTTGGCCTTTGGACACACAGTAGAGGAGCGCAGGCCTAAAGGAGACTTTGGCCTTGACGCTCTAAGGCAGCGAGGGGCTTCAGGCTACTCCGTCCATCCCCAGAGTCCGGCCACCTGAAGCTTCCACGTGTGCTTCGAGACCCTTTGAACATTTCGAGACCCTTCGAGACCCTTTGAACAACCGCATCAGAACAATGTTTTCTCCCTTATGGCCCAAACACGGGAACTTGCGAGGGTGGCGCGGGACAGGCTCGGTTCCCTTCTGTTGTGCTTAGGGGTCGCTATGGGGCCCAACTGAAGGGATGGCACCGGACAAAGCATGCATTACAGGTATGTGGTAGTACACCCCGCCCCACACCTCTCCACTCCCGAGGTTTCCTTGCTTTCCACTTTTTCTGTTCCCTGTGCCCTATGGCGACTGAAAATATGAAATGGAAAATCTAACATTAAACCATTCGTTTTTTTAAATGGACATCGTCCTCTGATCAGGGTCCATAATCATTCTTGGTTCAGTTGTGCCTCCCAAGTGAAGTGTCACTGAGTGGCCCACTCCATTATCAAATCTGCCCCGAAATGCATTGCTCCTGTTCAAGTCTCCCTTATTTTATTTACTAGTTGTCCTATTTTATTATTAGTTATTCTTATCAATTTCTTACTGTCATCAACCTGTAAATTAAATTTTATCATAAAGGTTACACGTTGGGTTGCTAACCACAAGGACATCAGTTCGAAGCCACTAGTGGCTCTACTCGAGTACATACATTTGTCTTTACTCGATTTATTTATGTACCATCTTCCATGATACAATTAAAACTCAAAACATACTCACGGCCATGGAGTTGACCCCATAGGACAGAGTAGAACTGACCCGGTGCATTCTGGAGGCTGTAACTCTTCAGAGGAGACAAAAGCCCTGTCTTTCTACTGGGGAGCACCCGGCTTCCAATCACTGCCCTCGTGGTTAGCAGCCCACTGGGCCACCCGGGCTCCTCCCTTATACAATACATTTTTTACCATCACATTTGTTATTATCACTACTGATCTCATTGAGGAGGTCTGTAGGATCTGAAGCTGTCAAGCTTATGGTAACAGATAGGAGTTTTCCAATATTTGAATTTTTCCCTTGAAAGCTGGAGTTGTATCACTGGCAACAAATACGATCCGTTATTTTTTGCTTGATGTGACAGGCTCACTTTGTTTATTTTTTGAGAATATGACTGCCAGATCTCCAAATGTGAATAAGCATACTTTGTTACTCATTCAGTCAAGGGAAAATAGTATGCTTCAGAAAACATGACTAGTTCAGCGCTTAGCGAACCATCCCACTTGGATTTGTAGTGGGTGTCTTTTACGCTTACGTTCCTATTTCGCCATACAGAATACTGAAAGGATACGTAATCAAGTAATAATAATAAAAGTACGGTCATAAGTGAATCTTTAGTGAAGCTGACTTTGTGATCCTAAGATCCGCCTAAATTTTCTTGTAGGTTCTTCATGCCTCTTCAAAAAAAAATCTTAATTCTTTAACCTTTCTAACTGAAATTTTGGATAGGATGAGATAAGATGTGAAGCTACAGCTTACTTTTTGTCTTACTACACTGTGGCTTCCCCCGCTAGACTCACTCCTTCCTGGTCTCATTATTTTCATTGACATTTGAAATCTGTGTATTTTCCTATCACTACATTGAAGTTGGACAGTCCCCTTAATGACTCTGGCCTCAGAATCTTCCATTTCAAATGAAGAGGTATGCTTTGTGAACTCTAATATCTTTTTTTTAATTTATTTTTTATTAAAAGATGTTATTAGGGGCTCTTAGAGTTCTTGATAACAATTCATACATCAATCGTATCAAGCATATTTGTACATATGTTGCCATCATTATTTTCTAAACATTTACTTTCTGTTTCAGCCCTTTGGTATCAGCTGCTCTCCCCTCACTGGTGACCCCTTAATAAATTATTATTATTTTCATATCTTACACCAATTGCTGTCTTCCTTCCCCCATGGTTCCTGTTGTTCGTCCCCCTGGGGGTGGGGTGGGGATGGTGGTAGTGATTATATGTTGATCATTGCTATCCAATTGGTGCCTTCCTCCCCTCCTCTCTCCACCTTCCCTCTACCTCCTGGTATCACTACTCCCATTCCTGTCCCTGGATTTTGTGTGTTGGGAGCTCCTATCTCTTATCTGTACCTGTGCACATGCTCCAGGCTAACGTGCAGTGAAAGGCAGGACTAGGGTCATGATAGTGGGGGTAGGGTGGGGTGAGGAAGCTTCAAGGAACCAGAGGAATACTGTGTTTCATTGGTGCTATACTGTGCCCTGGTTGACTCATCCCTTCCTTGTGACCCTTCTGTGGGGGGATTTCCTGTTGTCTACAGATGGGTTTTTGGTATCTGCTCCACCACCACCCCCCTCATTCTCAACAATATATTTTTTGTTTGTTTTGAGTCTTCTGATGTCTGTTACCTGAACCCATCAACACCTCAGGATCCCACAGGTTGGTGTGCTTCTTCCATGTGGGCTTGTTGCTTCTCTGCGAGATGGCCTTTGTTTAACTTCAAGACCCCAAGCTCTAAAATCTTATGTGAATCCCTGGGTGGTACAAATGGCAAAGCTGCTTGCAGCTAACCCAAAGGTCTGTGGTTTGAGTGCACCCAGAGGCACTTTGGAAGACCTGGCATCTACTTCTGAACAACCAGGCATTGGGAGCCCTGTGGAGCACAGTTCTACTGAGACATACTCAAGGTCACTATCAACTTGACAACTGATTTTTTCTTTTAGTGTCTCACAACCCTAAAATCCACTTGCCTTCTATTCTTAACCTACTCTCCAGTGATAGTGATGGATGTTAGGTTCAAGAACATAGAATTAGGATGAGCCCTGGTGGCAGAGTGGAGGAGAGCTGGGCTGCTAGCTGCAAGATCCAGAGTTTAAAACCACCAGCCGCACCACAGGAGAGAGATAGGACCTAGTGTTCTCCTAAAGGTGTAGTCTCAGAAAACTACCCTGTCTGATACAGTCATTATGAGTCGGTATCACTTCTCGAAGACAGTGAGATTTTTTTAAGTATTTGCTAAGGATATAGTCACTGGTTTGCATATTTCCTTTATTCAAATAAAAGCCACCTGCCAAATCATATTACATTCTATGGGTTGTTTTCCTGACCAAGAAATAAGTATTTGTTTCTGTGTCATTTTTATCTTACAAAAACAAAACAAAAAAACCCACAATTTTTTACTTTGAAATCATTTAAAACTCACAGCAAATTGTGAACATCACAGAAAATTATCATCAACCCCTCCCCTATCCTCTGCAGACAGAGTCGAACAGCTCATAGGGTTTCAAAGGTCTAAATCTGGAAGCAGACGGTCCCATTGTTTTCCTGCTGAGTGGCTGGTGGGTTTGAACACCGGACTTTTGGTGCACCACTGAGGGCCTCCTTAACCTCTCACTCAGATTCTCTTTTTGTTAACACCTTACACAAACTGGCATAGATTGTCAAAATCAGGAGATTAATGATCATGTCTTGATGGTGCAGTGGGCTACATGCTGGGCTGCTAACTGCAAGGTCAGCAGTTCGAACCCACCAGCCACTCAGCAAGGAAGATGACCCTTTTCACTCCGAGTGACACAGTGTCTGAAACCCAGTTCTACCCTGCCTGATAGAATCACCTTGAGTCAGCGTCAATGCGATGGCAGGGAATTCTGAAATTCGGAACCATTGATTAGTACATAGATTGTTCACAAAGATTGGCAGTTTTACCAATGGCCATTTCCTTTTCGAGGATCACTCATTAGATTTTGTTGTGAAGTTTCCTTCGACTTGTATTTGTACTGGTTCTTTACGATTTCACTCTTTCATGGTCTTGACTCTTGAAGGGCACCAGTTATTTCGTAGACTGTCCCTCAGTTTTTGTGGACCTAGAGTTCAACAGGAGGACTCAAGAAGTGTTCTCATTTTTGGCTCAGTGCATCTTTTCAGTGATTCGTGATGTCATCTGCCTTTTTAGTGGTGGTAGCGACCTTAGTCACTAGGTTACAGTAGTGCTTGCCAAGTTTCTCCACTGTAATGCTACTGCCATTCCCTTTGCATGTACTAAGTCTGAATACGTTGGAATATGTTTAAATACCTGGTTTCTCATCATCCTTCCTCACACTGATGTTAACATCTTCCAGTGCTTTTTACATGAAGCAGTTATACGAGTGTTTGCCCATTGAGTCTGTGTTTTCTCTCACCAGAATACTTTTGCAATCTATCATCATCCACTGTCACTATTTCATCCGAAACCATCCATCCTATGCGCCATCCATCATTTTTCCTCATATTTCCAAGAGTTTATCAATCACTTAAAATACTCGGTCTATATCGAGTCACTGCGTTTGTTCTATTTTGCGGCTTAATAACCCCAACTATCCCCCTCCCCCCGGCTTTAGTTTGTTTATTTATTTATGTAAGGTCTAGGATCGTGTGGTAATTGATTTTGAACAGCTTGTAGAGTGAGCAAAGAGTTCAAAACACCTATTAATTATGAAGCTATTAAAATCTACCAAAGGGTTAATCTCAAATATAGTTAGTTACACAGGATTCTCAGAAAAGACATGCCTTTGTGGAAGATCCTTTTGCTGC